CAACTGCCACAAACATGATACAACCAAACTAATGCTGTTCACGCTTCTTTCCACCCAGATCTCCTCTGAGCCCTGCTCCTGGTTCTGTGTGTCCCCCCAGCTTCTGCATGACCTGAGGTCTTCTTTGGCTGTCGGCATTGCTCCACCTGCATGCGCTGTAGGCCTATAAGTGTCTGGAGCAGCTCATGGCAAGTGGCTCTCAGGTGCAGCGGGGTGAAAGCAGGTTGCCCTGCCTCAAGGTGGACTCACCACTTCCCCCAGGATCAGGCTGAAGCCGACACTGCACCCTGATACCTTCCTCCCCTCCCCTATCCCCTGTCCTCACTCCTAACTGATTCCTCCTGGGAGCATTTCTTTAAGGAACCTATCAGGGTCTGCTTCTGGGAAAACCCCACCAGACCCATCCTCTTCCCCACCTTCCACCCACCCGCCCCCCTATCCCTCAATCCTCCCAACCATTCAGAGTCTGAAGCTCACTCCTATTTTGCTTTGTCCTCTTCCTTCACGCTCCTTTTCCAGCTAAATATTAATCCAATTTTTCCTCCTATGGGACATATCTCACATCTACCTTCCTTAGCTTCTTACTACAACCCACTCTTGTCACTGATCATCTCCCACTACAACTATCGCCATGTTTTCTCAGCTTCCATTTTCTTCCCCTCTTAGGCTTTTGAAAACTCAGCTCCTCTAATGTTTGTTCCTCTACAACAGAAATATTGCATTAGTTCCCCACGGCCTTCAGGATAAAGTACAAACTCCTTAGCTCAGCTGTCAGAGGCCCCCCGATCCAGGCCCCCCGATCCAGGCCCACTGCTTCACATCGGCCTCAGTCTGCTTCTCCAGGCCCCGCCCCCTCAGGCCGGTCTCCCTGCCCGGGAGACCCTCCTCACCACTTCGGCCTCCCCGCTCCCATTCAAAATCTACCCATCATTCCGGGACCCAGAGCAAATGAGACTGTGGAGCCTCCCGCTCTAGGGAACCCCCATGAACAAATTCCAGGTGAGGGGTGAAAACCGAGACCCACAGATCTGGCTGGGCATTCACATAATATGCATATATACTTTGCATCCCCCTCGTAGATAAGTTTCTTGTGAGCTGGTTGCTCTTTAGAGTCATCTTTGCATAGCGAAGCTCTATCACATGTTTATCTTAGAAAAATCTAACTGAAAGGGAGGAACGTTTACCACTTAAAACGGTGCCAGTTATTCTACTCAGCAGGCAGATGTGCCCCAGAATGGATGTGAGATAGGAGGCGTGGAGATCCTGTTTTCTCAATCTCAGTTCCCACACACACGTCTCTAGGTGCAAGCATCTCAGCACCTAGGTGTCATTCTAATGAACACTCACTATGAACCCAAACTAACTTACTTCCCCACGGAGCTCACTGTTGGAAACACCTATCTGATCTAGTCGGGAAGGAAAACATGCATCGGTCAAGTAGAGGTGCTATAGTATTACATCTCATGGGCAATTAAAGAGATTCTCAAAGGCAGTTTTGATTATATGCATTTTTCCACCTCCCAACAGGGATTTGGAATCCAACCCCTTCCATTAGCTGCAGTTCCTCTGTGTGCCGCACCCCCTGACCCTAGGCCAAAATGTCAACACAGTTCACAAATGTCCTGGTCCTCTGAACCATCCAAAGCATTATTCCAGGGGACCTGGACTCAAATGACTTCAACCCATTAGAGATGAAAAACACATCACTGGCACCTTCAACTAGCTCTATGTGTGAACAATGACAATTCAACAGCTGAAAAATTAATCGGCACAAAGCATTTTTGTACTTATGTCTATAGCCATAGAATGACCTAGAATTAAACCCACACTCATGAAACATCAGAAGTGACATTTTAATAACTGACTTCTCTTAGCCATCACTTTTGAGATCTTGGGCAACTTGTTCTAAGGAACACAGCCTGAAAAAAATGAAGGACAACAATTCAGAGTGATTTAGAATTCAGAGTGATTGCAACAATGTTGTCAGTTAGAAATCACTAAGTGTTCCAAAGAAAGAGTAGAGAGAAGGAAGTAAATCCTCTATTTACTCATTATCTCATTCTGCTATTCTATTCATTCTTGAGTCAGTTTTCAAAGTAACTGACTTTGAATTCAACACATTTAGGATTAACAATGATTTATAGCTAGATGTGTGATTTGGCCTGCCATCCATTCTATAATGAAATTTCAAAAGAATTTCCAAAAAAAAAAAAAAAAAGTCAGGCAATTTTTCCTGAATTTAAGTGAAATTTGTCAAAATGATAGAGAGTTCAGAGGAATGTTACTGCACTGAGCTTTGGGAATGACTCACTAATAATCCAATTAGACTGCCAATGATGCTCTCAAATTACCCAAATTCCACTAGAAAACATTTCATTGTAAGACAATAAAATAGTCCCACTTCATGTGCATTATTCCTATGTTTGCCCCCAAAGCCAGGTCCAAATTAAAAGCTACTTCCTCCAGAAACATTTCCTTAGTTTCCTTTCCAGCAGGAGGTGACTTCTCCTTCTCCCACACTCCCATGGCATGAAGTGCACTCTCTTATTTTCTCAGTTAAACTGTAGGTACCTGAAAGGCAGGCTCCAGGTCCAGGTGAAACTTCCATCTGCACTCTCTACCTCCCATAAAATAGAGTTCCTAGCATGTCCCTTACAAAGAATACAAGCTCAGTAAGTGTTTGTGAATGAATGAGTGAGTGAGTGAATGAATGAACGTAAGCTTATATGTTTTTTCCTGGTCTTGCTGTAGACCCTAAAGCCTCGTGGTTTGCTATAAACTTTACATTCACCTTTCAAACACATTAAATTTAAAGTTCGCATCCAAGTTTCAGGCAGTTATCCTATGGTGATTCTTGCTAATGAACTTGGTCTGGACTGACAGTAATCTGGGAAGTTTACCTGCACCTCTTTCAATGGGGTCTATTTAAGAAATACTACCCAGGCATTTATTTCCTCTTGGAGAGAGAAATCATTTCATTTAACAGCATCTAAAGCTGTCAGAACTCTGGCAGACTTTGTGAAAAATATCATCTTAACTGTCTGTATTAAAAATTAATCACATAAGATTTGTTTTGTTTCCACTACTTAAACTCTCTACAGAAAAGGTTCTGTTGTGGAGTTTTTCATTTGTTGAATTTTAATAGTGTGGAGTATTTTCCCCATGATGCAAAAAACATGGTTATTGCATTTCCTAGGAGACAGAATGCCTGTACTTTAAAATGTCACTGTGTAATGAATGCCTGCCTTCCCACTACCACCACTCCTCCCACACAATACTAACGGGAAATGAAAGTGGTGTAAATTCTCTTGGTCATTTTTGCAGTAAGAATAGCACACTGCCATTCTCCTTACCACACTTAGTAAGTTATCAAGCTTTTGCAACTTCTTTAAAAAAACAAACAAACCAACCAGGTTGGGCAGGGGGCAGTTTCAAAGAAAACCCAGCACAAAGTTATCCAAGGAAGTTCCTTCTTGCATTTGCTTCCCCCAGGAGTTAGAATCTTCATTAAAGTCATCCAGGCAGGTGGTCTGGGCACTCTGGCCTTGAGTGCACTTAACCCCAAGGCGAATGCCACCTTCTCTTTCTTGAAAACTCTCCTGCATACCCATTTCTCCTTCTTCTTAATATCTTGACCCGTTTTCCTCCTCTAGAAAGTAAGGTCATTAGTGACCTTCACAAATACCTCCGTGTCTGGCTCTTAGCTTCCTCAACTTTAAAGTGGGAATAAAAATCCTATCTGTTTCAAGGGCTGATGATGAGGACGAGTGACACACACGAAGCCTGGCCCACAGTAAGTGCTCAATAAATGTGACCTCTAGTCATCATGCATGTCTCAGGTGTCCGTGGCAACTGAAACCACTACCACAACAATCTCCTCCTGGGATCGACCCGGATATTGATCTACAGCTAATCAACATAAAGAAACAAATATGTCCAAAAGGTAGATGTTAAGAAAAAAGTTTCGTTCCACAAAAACCCTGGTAAACCTGGACATTAGCAAAGGCTCATGCTACCTTGTACTTCAGATTCTAACACATGTTGCCTCAGACTGAGTCCCAGAGCTTGGTCAGCCATGAAGGAATGAAGGGCTCAGCTTGCCAGGAAAGCGGGGCCCATGGTAGTCACACAGCCTCCTGCCTCCCACTGTGCCTCCTGGGCTCAGAGGCCCAGTGTTTCTTGTCTACCTGGCAATGCAGCTTGTAAAAAGACGGAGGAAAAAAAACAAGTAGTTACTCTGCACTCTCCCTTTTTAAAATATGGTCCATATTGTCATTCCTCCCATGACAGAAGGTCAAAGGACAGACCTGTTTTCCTCTGCCAGACTTTATTTCAATTTTTATTTGTACAAAAGCAGCAAAAGCATACTGTGTTTTCTACCCCAACTTCATTGTTTAAAAAATTATTTTAAATTCATATTTATTGCTCCTTCTGAGAAACCAACCTCCGTCTCTCTTTTCCTTATTAGACCCAGTAAAAATATAATAAGAGTAAATAAGTGTTTAATTAAGCAAGCTATCCTGAAAAACACCCAGCCTGGAAAACCTGGAAAACCAAAATCAAGACCAAAATCTAGACCAAAATACTAGATTCGGGTGGGTGTTGGTTTTCCTCCTGAGTGACTGACAGAACTCAGGTGAACTCAAAATGGTCAAGTACTTCTGGAGTCTGGGGAAAGACATTAAGTTTGTATGAAGCTTTTTAAAAAAAACGAGTGTGTTTTGTAGCCATGCGTTTCAGACTGTAGTGTCATACTTTAACTGGCTGCATCATTCTGGGAGGGTACCTCTTCGGAGGAGACAATCTTCTGGCTGAGTTGAATAGTTATATTAAAGGAGGGAAAGGGTGTGAAAGGGAACTCTCTACTTACGCAGTCAGGCACGGACAGGACACAAGGAAACGTCTCTCTGGTTGTCCAATGTATTGCCTTACCTGTCAGAGGGCAGAGGCCCTGTCAACACACGTTGGCCACCTCATGATGCCAACCTCAGAGGCCTTACCTGTCGGTTTTCTTGATGAGGATGGCCCTGAAGATGCGCTCAAGGGGCGTCCTCTCCTGCTTGTGGGCTGGTTGCACGAAAGGGTGCAGGGCCACCAGCAAGAAGCCCTGCTGGTACAGCTCCAGGAGCTGGGCAGGCAGGTCTCGCAGGGAGGCCAGCCTCACTGCTGAGGACCGCGGGAGCTCGGCTGCGAAGGAGAGAGGAGGGGCTCGTCAGACACACACCCAAGCTGCCTGCCCCACCCCCCCCCAGGCCCGTCTCCCCTGGCCCTTCCAGGGAACCTCTAGGTCACCCCTTGGTAAAAACGAGTTTGCTCCTGTCTTAACTACTGTCTTCAAAGAGAACTTATAAGCCGCCGGCTATTTTCCAACTCATCCAGAGACACTGATAATTGGTAAGCCTAGAGTCAATTTTCTCAGAGCCACATTGAAAAACTCATTTCCACCTCCTCAAAAAAATTAAAGAAAGAAAAGAAGGGAAAGGAGGAGGCGACAAGAACTATGTGCAAATATAAAATTACCAGGTGACAAAAAGCAGCAGAAACAAACTCAAAAGATAAACTAGAAGAAATATCGGTGGTATTTACAACAAAGTGGTAATTTTCCTGATTTGCAAAGAAACCACTCCCTCCAAAAAAGAGAAGAAAAATGGGCAAAGAATATGAAGAGGCAATTGCCTAAAAAAAAAAAAAATCCAAAAAATCCAACCACTAGTTGAAAAGACACCCAAATTAACTAAACATTAGAACCAGGCATGTCAAAGTAAATATTTTTCACTTACTTACTTTAAAATTTTGATTAAAAAATTTAAGAAGCCAAACAAGATTCAAAATTCAAAAAGCACAAGCATCTGTACAGTGAAAAATACATCACAGCCCTATCTCCTGACTCTCAAGCCTTTTCCCTATAGGCAATCAATATTATCCATTTTTAAATATACATGTTAACAATCACCAAATTCATATACAAAGTCAGTCTATATATCTCCCTCCCTTTTTTACACAGATAGTAGCACAACATTAAGGCCCTTGGCTTTTAATCATTTTTATCAATTATCAGTATACCTTTCTTAGAGTCCATTCAACAGTAGTAAAGAGATGCCTGGCACAGTATGATGTTCCACAGGTTATACACACTTTTGCTTTAATAACTAATGCTGCAATGAAAAATATCACTCATATAACACATCTAAAAAATAAATTCCTAGGTGTGGAACTGCCAGGCTAAAGATAAATGCATTGTACTATTTTCAGATAGTGCCAGGTTTCCACCAGAAAGTAGTACAGATTTACCTTCTGTCAGTGATACAATCACTGTCTAATCTCATAGGGAAGTGTGCATTTATATTTCACTTACTATGTAATTTGTATTTTTTAATTGAACATTTGATGTTTAAATGCTACCTGTATTGCCTTTTCTATTAACTGCTCATAATCTTTGCCTAGTTTCTGATGGGTCACAGGCCCTGTCTATTGGTTTGTAAAAACTCTTTATATATTAAGAAATATAGTTCTTATTTGTGATACCAGCTGCAAATATCTTTCTTCAATTTGTTGCCTTTTAACTTTGCATAAGGTGGGGTTTTGCCATGAAGAATTTTTTTATGAAGTTGAATTTATCAATCTTGCCTTCAATGGCTTCTGAGTTTTATGTCATAGCAGAATGATCTGGAATTATAAAATAATTCTCCTGTGAAATCTTGCAGTACATGTTTCATTTTTTTGCCTGTCAATTTTTGATCCATTTGGAATGTATGCAATATGAATTTAAAAATTTCCCCCAAGGCTTACACATTTTTCCTCATTGATTTGAGATGGCACCTTTATCACATAGTATATTCCTGAATATATTTAAGTTTATGACTGTGATCCATTAATCCATTTTAATAATTTTAGTTTCATATTATTCTTTAATATCTGCTTTGGCTATTTCATTTATTTTCTGAATATTCTTGTTTAGTCTTATTTATTTTTTCAAATGGTCCTTAAAATCAGCTCACTAAATTCTCCTTCCAATAAAAACCTTGTTGATGTTTTTGTTGGATCATGCCCAAATTATAGCTTAACTGAAGAAGAATGAATATTTTCATCAGGCTTTGAGTACCCATCCAAGAATATGGCATAATTTTCATTTATTCAAGATTTCTTTGGAGTCCCTCAGGTGCATATTAAAGTTTTCTTCACATGGATATTGAACAATTATTCCTAGTTGTTTTATATTTCATTGCTATTTGGAATATAGATTTTTTGCCTTTTTACTTGCATGCTATCCATTGTGGGCAAGAATATTAAGGAAACAGGCAAACAGGCATGCTCATCACCGTCCATGGGGGAACTTTTCGGGATAGCAACGCCTTCAAAGGTACCCTTCGCCCGACAATCCCACTACTAGGTATTACACCTACGGCTGGGCTCATAAAATATTTCTGGAGATATTATCAACAATGATATTCACTGCAGCGTTGTTCATACAGCAAAAGCCTGGAACCAGAGAGCTCTTTATTGGAGGGCTAGGTAAACTCTCGGACATCCCAAAGGTGAATCAATCTTATCACCCATTTAAGAAGATTAAGGTAAGTCTGTTATTTGCTGATGGAATCATGTCCAAGATAACTACTAACTGGAGGCCAGGTATCTAACAGTATTATCAAATGATACTCCTATATAAAAATAGCACAAGGACAGACATAAAAAAAGTTTTTTTCTGAAAAATATCATAAAAACATTGGAGAGAGGGACTGGAGTAGAGAGGGGAAGATGGAAAGACAGTTTCTGCTTTATTTTGTACTTTCAACACTATTACCATTAACAGGGATCATCTGGGTGGAGGATTCATGAGATGTTTTAATTTTCTCCTTTATAGGTAAAACCAATATTATTTAAAAGTTTTAATGTACTTTAAAAAATAATGTTATTTTAAAACACAAACTTAAAAACAAAATATAGAGGTACTTAAGAATACTACTTAACATCAGACCCAGTAGCTCTCATCCCATACATCATGCAAGAAATTTACGGGAAAACAAAATCTATAGCAATGATTCACTCTAACGCAAGTGCCCGGCATCTTGGAGCGGTCGCCATCAATAACAGTGACAAAGACTAGCCAGGAAAGAAGAAAAGTCTGCACTCTTTCCCTTGAAGGATACATTTTGGATAAAAACCTAAATGTAAGTCTTGTAAAGAACATCATGCTTCACAATTCCCATGCACAGAAACCCAGCAGGCAAAAGGGGCCCTTGCCCTGAACCCCATGTTTTAGAGCAGCTGTCTTCCAAGTGAGCTCCTCTGGCCACAGCGCTCTGGGGAACACTTTAGACATGGAGACTCCTGGGCCCTGCTCCAGACCTACTGCATCAGAACCGGAGCCACCTTTGTCTTGACAATCTCTCCAAGAGAGTCTGAGACTGAGCACTATTCTCCAGAGGATTCCGCTTTGGTCCTCCTCCAACCACGCTCCTCTCCATGAGCAAGGACCATGGGGACCTACGGGCATGTGTCCACCTGTGACCCGTGCCCCCACTTCACACAGCCATGACCGTGTAACTCCCTACACGGACAGCCCTGGGGCCCAGTTTGGGAGCCTGTGCAGACTTCTTCCCCGGTCTGTAGTCAGGGTGGACACTGTCCCCTCTGTGCGCATCCTGTGGCCCAAGGTGGGGCAGAGGCTAGGATGAGGTGAGGAGTCGCTGCCGTAGGTGCAAAATTTAGGGGCACCAAAAACTCACTAACCACAATAAGTAAATGTTTGATGCAATTTGTTAAAAAGAGAAAATGAATGCAAAAAGTCCGTAATGAGTAAAATGTAAAAAGTGGTAATTAAGATAGGATCAGTATTGATTTTTTGCTTTTCTCGCAAGCTCCAGTCTGGCTCAGAATGGCACTGTTACTGATCTCATCTATTAAAAAGCACTGCCTCAGTGGCCTCGCTGCAGAGCCGGCCCCGGCCCACCATCTCCTCTTGAGGCCTTGTCCCAGGCCCTGCAAATGACAAGAGCGGGCGTGTACGCAGGTTGTGCCAAGGCAACCAGGCCAGGTTTCCTCTGCTGTCAAGAGATTACAAAGCAACTAAACCAAAAGGGCGTCATAGCCTGTGGCATAGATGTTGTTTGTTTTATTTAAAAAGCCGACGGAACTTCTGGCAGGGGTGTAAACCTTTCTGGTGGGGTAATTTCATGATAGTGACCAAACCTAAAAATAAGATGCAGCACTAAGATCCCGCTTCTTTGACAAAACTATATAGAAAGAGCCTCTGTGAATCATCAAACATGAGAACTCACACTCAGCCCATCTCTGCAAGTCAATATTTTGTACATGTTCGGCACATTTCAAATTCTTACTGCAGCAATAAAATAAAGCTTTACTAAGATTTTGATAATTTATATATTTGTTTCCTCTTCTTCGTCATACTATAATAAAAAATTATAAGCAGTTGGTGTTGAGAAAACTTGGGATTTTAGTACCAACTACCTTCCTCACTGGCATTAACTTGGGGCATGTGAATATCCAGTTTGCTTGTATAAAACGGAGATAATAACATCAGCCTGTCTTCCATCACAGAGTGGCTGTCAGACTCAAACAGGACGATGTATGTGTAACTGATCAAACTCAAAACGAACCCACGTAGTGGTACTGGTGGTGGCGAAAGGTGGGGCCAGTCAGCTACGGACGGAAATGACAGTATAACGCTGAGGCCATTAAATCTTCCCCATTCCTATCCACGCCCCCTACTCTCCACACTCCAAGCCAGGGCACTGAAAACACTAGTCGATCAACCATTTTGTAGTTAAATGTTCCCTAAATAAAACAACACCTTTTAAATTTTAATCTTAAAATATAAAGATACATCTCCTGTCAAAACAGATCAATTTTATGGCTTTAATTTTTGGTATGCATACTGTCAAAATAAGTTTAGCTTTGTGGTTAAGAAAAAACTGAATCTCAATAATCTTACTGCAATAAAAGAAAAACAGGCAAAAATATGATTAAAGGCCTTACTTTCCTGATTCTACTTGAATATTAACCTTAAAAAAAGAAAGAAACCTAGTTCGTAAGTGACCAATCCCCCAAGATTATTACTAAAAAAAGAAACGAAGGAATGACTTATTTGTTTGGACGGACATACCAACCCTAACCTCTGGGTCTGTTTCTTACCCCACCCATCAGAGTTAAGTCTCCATTATTTTTGT